CCTACCTGTTCGTAATTCTGCCTGTGTAATACCTCATTTCCAATAAAACGGTAAAACTCACACGACTGTCTGGTTCGCAAATGCACCGTGCCGGAAGCATTGGGCCTCGCTCCACTACTCTCGACATGCAAAAGAGACAAAAATCGTCGCGGTGTATTTTCCATGTTCTAGCCGAAGATTCACTCTCGTTTTGCACATTCGAGAGTAGTGGAGTCAGGCCCATTAACAGGAGCACACGTAGCTGAGTAAAAACCCTAAAAGGGCATATGCACTCACACTCGGATTTTCCCATTCCATCTTAACCGCCGCCGAAACGACACCAAGTCATATACCCACGCGTTCTTTTCCGGCGCAAGCAAAATGCAACGCAACGTGTTTTTCCCTTCGATCCTCGGCCCGCCACAGCCACGGAAGTCGAAAGCACAGCCCCCCTCCACCCCCCCCAACTACCAATTTCTCGAGCTTCTCTGCCGCCGTAGCGTGCGTCTACTTTTTCGGAAGAAACAGTGCCGCACTTCCCAGTGGAATGCTACCGTTATTGCCGAAGCGGTCAAGAGCTCCTGTTCATCTGGCTCACACACGGGCTCTTCTACCGAAGGCCGGCCTGTGATTGGCTAGGCAAGATCTTTCTTCCACGGAGTGCTCGGAGAGTTTATCAGCTGCTTGGGCGCACAAGACTCGCTGTGCTCTTTTCCTGGAAGGAGAAGTGCCAAGTAGAGAGAAGAAACCCTAAATTAACCCCTGCCAGTCATCTCGCCCGGAATCGGCTGGACGGATACAGCGATAGGAACAAAAACCTTTCGCCGAGAGATGTCTTAAAGGGCCGGTGGTACTTGGACGTTTCAAAAATTGGTCAGCGAATGATTGGAGGACAGCGACAAGGTGCAGGTTCTTCTACCAAAAGCCCAAGCCCCCTACGCCGCAAAACCGCTCACGCCCTTGCTTCCGGACCTAGCGCCCCACAGCAGGGCGGTGATCGGGCAGAGGGATCGTCTTTCTGATCGCGGGCAGGGGCACCCATTTCTTTCCTTTCCCTCGATCCAAGAATCAACAAGAAACTCCTCACGTCCATCCCACCAACCATATCACCATCGACTGTTCACGTCAACCAGTCCCACACTCGTAAGCTTAGGTTTCCCTCGATTCATGACAAACGCTTACGCACGCTTCTTGAACGTATCTAGTAGAGATCCCTTCACACACGCAAGAACGTAGATTGTATTTCAGAGTTTCTACATTCCGGAAGCCCTTGCAAACCCTAAGTAGGCCGTTCAGAGCCGAAGGGAGGCAAAGAAAAATAGACCCCGAGGGTAGGACTGGGCAAGGGGGGTTGTGGGACAGGCCCCCCCAACCCGCCCAGGGCACAAAAAAGCCGAAAGGAATTTCTTTCTTCTTCTTTTTGAGCGGGGGGGGACGGGGAAGAGGGTATCGAGGAGAGCAAAATCATGATAATAATAGTAAATCAATCAACCGATCAATCAATCAATCAATCAACAATCAGTCAATCAAACAATCCGTCATCACTTTACCAATTAACAATCAATCATCAACCGATATTTCAATCGACCAGCAATCAAACAATCAATATTTCCATCGACCGATCAACATTTCAATCATCCAACAATCAATCAACATTTCAATCATACCAACAATCAATCCACATTTCAATCGTACCAACAATCAATCAACATTTCAATCGTACCAACAATCAATCAACAATCAACATTTCAATCGTACCAACAATCAATCAACATTTCAATCGTACCAACAATCAATCAACATTTCAATCGTACCAACAATCAATCGACATTTCAATCGACCAACAATCAAACAATCAACCGATCTCTCTCTCTCGCACCCCTCCCCTTTTGCACGCCTTGGAGGCGGACTGTGTCATGCCGGGCACTCACCCAACGCGCGCGTGAAATGAGGGTGTTTTGTGTATTTTATCGTGTTCGCTACACACAACTTCGAAAAACAAAGCATGGCTGTGCGAGACTTTCGACGAACTTTCACCGACTCGTAAGGAGGTTGAACCCCGACAGTCCGCAAGGACTGACACAGAGAGAGAGAGAGGACGTGTGTTTGTGCGCGTGATGTCATGTTCGCTATACATAACTCCACAAGAAACACATGTTCGCAATGCACAGAAAGAACGTCGATTTTGGTAGTTTTCCTTCGTATTTTACTATTTGGAAAAAAGACATCCTAAATCGCATCGAAAATTCATGGACGAAAGGGGGGTTAGCCCAGAGGTCGGGGCAACCTCCCAGATTTTTCAGGGGACTGAATGGCTCCCCAAGAATGTTGCCGGCCCGGCCAAAGACCCGACCCCACGTTAAATGAACGGGGATGCATATAACACGTACAAGTAACACAAAGCGACGGGTTCGCACATCAGCTACGTTGCTCACTACAAGGGCAAAGCAGCTCGGCCACCGACACAATCCCGAAATCAATCAATCAATCAATCAATTGATCCATCATCAAACACAACGCTCGACCAACTAAACAATCAGTCAATCATCAAAAAGGTTCCACGTCAAACACATTCCATTCGAGTTTTCCACTTCGTGTGCCTGTTTGAACTGCGGCCATTCGCGTTTTCACATCCCCATTATGTTCCCTTTTCTTTTTTTCTGAAAGGGCGACAACCTTGGGATATAGTATCATCGTCAAATTGACCAGCCCCAGGTAATTCAAAAATGTATTCGACTAGTTCCATCATCTGGATTCGAACTTACGTCTGCGTTTCAGAAGTTCATGAGCGTCCCAACTGAGCTGGGCCTGTTAGTCCATCCCCACTGCCTTTCTATTGACTGCATCAGCTGTCCCTTTCTACTGACGGGATCTGGATTCGGACTTACTTCAGCATCGGCTCGAACAAGGTCGTGAACTACCCAAAGCGTAGACGTATGACGCCGCCTTCGGCCTACGAGGTGAGTAGTCTAACCTCTAGTGAAAACTAGAGATGATTGGAAAAAGGAATGCGGCTAGAGGTTTTCTGCTGCCGCAGTTCCGTTATACATAGCCCCAACGCACGAGGACGACAAACAAAGCCGTGCTAACGACACGTCGGCCTGGACCAACCGACCGAAAATACTGTAAATAGATCTCCACCATCAGTCGCGTGAAGAGATCAATCGTGAGCGCGCGCGTATAATAAAAGTAGGTCATGATGACCGACCACTTGTCGATGCATGTCAAATTAAGAAAAGATGGCAGGTGAGACAGCCGGTATCGGAATAGCTTCCGCAATCCGGCACCACCGTCGTCACCCGAATGGACCGCCCGGTCATTATCGTTGTATTTGAACCGCAACGTAGCCCAAATGCCGCTATATAATGACACAGGCGTTCTATTCGGGGGGAGAGGGTACTAGGAGTGAGCAAGATCGTGTTGCAACCGAAGGATACAAGTCTCGCGGGACTCTGTAAGGAGCATGGGGCGACGAGACGACGACGATAATACGCAGTACATATTTGCTATCTTCTTTCTTTCTGACGACCGACCTATATATATGACATGAAATGAAATGAAACTCCGTAAGTCAACAGCATCAACAGTACTCCTTCCCGTCAATCTCGCCCGAATTGAGAGCCAAAAGCAGACAGGCAGGGTCTGTGCAGCGCGGTACGGCCCCCAAATTCAACGATATTCTCGGTTTTTCCTTACCCTCCCACATGCCGCCGTCTCACGACCAGCAAGCACTCGAAACTCGGAGAGATGGATCTTCCGAGTCAGCATATGCGTCTCCGCAAAATACACCAACAAATTGCAACGAATACTCGAAGAGAGCTCCTACCTTTCCAGGCCAGTAAACGAGTCTACAACCCCTGAAGCGAGTGGACAAAAGAACGGGAGTGGGAGAGAGAAAAAGGACCAAGAAACATCGACTAGCCAACCAAACAAACGACCAACCAGAAACGGAACAGAAAGCAGCACGATGTGCCCCTGTAGACGTGGTGTGACCTTCCGCCTCCAACTGATCCCTTTCCCTGCCGTCAAAATCCCCGGCTACCCTAACGCCGAAGGGGACCACTTCCGACGAAGTCACACCGTCAAGCCTCTCCGAGGTCAGTTACTAGGGTATCAGCTGCAGGCGTGACTTACCGCTTCGCAAACAGCTGCCGATCCATCCCGCGTTCCTCTGTCCACAATGATTATGAGCTGATTACTGATAAAGATCCGATGAGGAAAAACACGATAGACCTCCTTTTTAGCCTCATCCCTACCTAGTATGATGATGTGAATCATGCCGCTAAAATTGTAAACCAAGGAGCCTCGTTCATAGACAAAGAGCTGTATAGTAGGCTCCTTTATGGGGTTGCAAGAACGAACTCTAAGGTGGGTTTTTTCCCCTTTTCCCCTCCTTTCTTTTTTTTGAAGGGTGACGGCATTGAGCTATCATCATTGAACCGAACGGCCCCAGGCAATTCAGAGTGAATTTAGTCTGTTGATCTGATAGTAACTGGATTCGAACTTGAGCCTACGTTTCAACAGCTCATTGGTGTAACCGATTACGCCGTTAACCTTTGCAGATCCATCATCCATTGATTGATGATGCATCTTTCAGACTTCGGGCCTCGCCACACCACTGTCGAAACGAAAAGAGAAAGAATGCAGCAGCCACAGAAAGTGGTAAGATGAATCCATTGCTATTCATAGTGACGGATGCATCTTCTCCTCTCCTCAGGAAGATGCATTCGTTCGTCTTTCGTTTCGAAAATGAAGTGGCGAGGCCCTTCGACTGATCGCTTGCATCTAGTTTCAGGTTTTCTATTTCACTCCCTTCTTAGGGTTGGTTCTTCTTACCTTCCCTCACGGTACTCGTACACTATAGGTCACTGAGAAATACTTAGGCTTAGAGGGTGGCCCCCAAACAATTCAAACACGGCGCGCTAAGCTAGGCCAGTTGTGAACTCGCAGGATTCGAACCACCCCCCGTTCTTATTGTCGGGATGACCACAATGACGGCACGGATGATGAGACGAGAAACGATCGACCTAATGTCTTTATTTTACATCTCAATCTTTTGTTCTCTTGTCTTACGTGAGGGACCAACAGAAGGAAGGAGTGAGGCCGTACTCACAGGAGGTCTTTCCTGGATGCATCTGTCCGCTTTTACGGTCACCCCTGGATGCATCTGACCGCAAAGATGTCCACAGAGAAGTCGGAAAATTCATCGTGCAAGCGTGCCCTAACGAAAGATCGACCGGGCCAACTCGCACAACTCGACAATGATACAAAATACCATCATCAGAACTTCCTTACCAAACACACACGAGTACAATCAAACCTTGTTCCCTTCTGCCTAATAAGGCAACTTAGCACGTAGAAGATCCATCGTGAGCAGTCCGCCGATGGATTTTTTTGGCACCACCGCCTACCTGCGACAAGACAACATAAGTAGAAAAAAACTCTTAGACCCTCGGCCCCAGCCCACACGCTCGAAGCACGCACGTGTACATCACAAGTACGAAAAAGACAAACTGCGAATCCGTTTGTCAACCGCCAAGCAGCGGTCTCATACGTACAGCATACTCCCTCCCTTCTCCCCTCGCCCCCCTCCCGGCACAAAAATTGCTCCAAACGTACAAAATATGGGCCGCACATTTTTGAAACGCCTCAACGAATCAATCAATCAGTCAATCAAATGGGTAGAGACCCAGACGATCAGTCAGTCAGTCAGTTCGATCTACTCCCCGCCCGAATCATAATCACTTACGTGATTACTTGTGGTAAGCGAACGCAATGCCAAAGACGAAAAACCCCACCATCATGGAGAACGAACTCGTGTAGTAGGGCCAGGCAGAAAGGATGAACCGCTCGTACTCGTTGTGCCGGAAAGGCCTAACCGGAATCTGCCTACTCAGGTCTAGCGTGGCGTACCCTAGCCGTCGGTACTGCACTTTGAGCTGGAAAACTCCGTAAACGTCCGGAACGCAGAACGATACGGAGTACCGCCCTTGGTTGTCGTGGCTAAGGGTCTTCAGAACGTAGGGGCTCATCATGTAGAACTGCATCTGCACGTCGTTCGCCCGGTACGGCTGCCATTTCTTCCCGTCCCACTCAAGGATGTCCAACGAGTACTCCAGCTCGTCCGTGATCCGGTACACCGAAGGCTCCTCCGACTCCCCAACCCTGTGATGACCCACGTTTGCAGCCCGCAGATGACCTCTCTCATGAAACGTCCATTTCGTCAGCTCCACGGCGAACTGCTCGTTGCCCGATTTCGGGTACCTGGTCGCACTGCCCGCTTTCTGCACGGGCGCCCTGAAAAACCGGTTGCTGAACAGGTCCAACGAGCCAGAAATAAGTACACGCGCGTTGTTCCTCGCCTGCATAACGGACACCATAGCAATGTCACTTCCATAGATGGGTGGAGGGCTCTTCGCTTCGACAGCCGGGTTGTGGGAAAACGCCGACGGCGATGCGGACAAAACCTTCACAACTAGGTCACTGTTCGCGTTCAACGTCGTCCCGATGCCTCGGAACAGCACAGGGGCCGGCAGCTCGGCGGCGCCAAGAATGGCGCTGCAGTTCAGAACGTCGTTCGCGACGATCAGCGAGTGATCGATATCACTCGCTGACGAGGCATAGTTCGCGTGATCGATCAACGCCACGTCCGCCCTCTCATCGAATTCGACTCCGCATTCAGTTGCGATATCCCTGACAACGGAGGACACGCCGATGTCCGCCGCCAGAATAAGATCGTGCCCGGAATCGATAAATTCCAGGATTGCGGAGACGTCCAGGTTGCCCCCCAGCATTTCGACTCGAGGCGCGAATATGATGGCTGCGTCATACAGGTACTTGCCATACTTCTGAAGAGTCAATGACGGGTCATCTGCGAGCTTGAAGTCCAGCTCATAGCCACGATCAGAGAGCGATTTGAAGAATAGTCCGTGAGTTGATCGGATGCTTAAGTCATCAAGCAGAACAAAGATCTTTTGATCCGTCGGCCGCTCCTCCGAAAACCCTCTGCAGCACACAACAGCGAGCAGGAGCACCGCCGCCACGAAACCGCACCTGGCCGCCATAGCTCCGCCTCTCTCTTCTTACTCCTTCCTCCTCGCCACTTTTTCAAACGGGGAGGGCGCTCTCCGTACGCCTTCCTCCTCCTAGCAACCCCTCCCAACCCGTGCTCTCTGTACTCTTCCCTCCTCACCACCCCCTTCAACCCGTCTTCCCCTCATGGGCTACTGAAGCACCGTCAGCACGGACGTACTCTACCGGCTGACCTCAGTGTGGCGATTGGTTACCACGACGCCCTGCTGCGAACGCGACTACATTCCTACCAGAAGGGATCAGGCCTGACCCTGGACGAGACAGAACAGACGAAAGCGGGTTCACGTAGAACGGAGCCGATCGCCTCACTTCGCATCTCTCTTTGCCGAGTTGGTCCCTTCCGCGGCCTGTCGGAGGCCCCTTTTTTTTGTTGAGAACGCAGATCCACAGCTCCACTCCACAGGGTACTGTTCAACGGAAGAGTAGTTCGGGGGAGGCTGGGCTGTATGCTACCCGCCGGGAGTGGTGTCCTCCCCAAACCAGGCTCGGGAGATATAACCCACCACCATCCCAGAGCGCTCTCAAACTTCGCAAGTTTGTGTGCTCCCAGCTGCAACTCGTCAGTTTCCGCCCCAAGAACTCCAGAGCGGACAAGAGTCTACGATTAGGGCCTCGTTCGACACCACTTGAACATACTTCACTTGAGTTTCAAGTGCACACTAAGGGCGTAGTTGCACCTACTCGCCATCCGTCAAAATTCGTGGCGGATGCGTGGAGAGTGAAAAAAATGAAAATCGCGTCCAACGCGAGGCCTGGTTGCACTTACTCGCCACTAGATTTCTTCTACAGAAAAGTTAAACCACCAGTACCTAGCGGTTCAGCCTACCGGTAACCCGAACCTTGCCGAGCCTCGAGCTACCGGTAGGCACACACACAAAAAAAAAA